TTCTGCCTGTACTAATGTCCTCGGGAAGCCACCTAGTAGCCAGTGCTGTGTGCTCCGGGTCTCCAGTTCTGACACCATTAATCATGTGATCACACGATCTGGAACCAAAAGACCTTTTTCTAGGTACTGCCTTGCCGCGTCACCAACTTCTGTGCTGGCCTCGAGGCTCTCCCTCAAGAAGTGGCCACTGGAGAGATGCTGGAGGCCAAAGTTCTGGGTGATCCTCTCGCATACGGTGCCCTTACCCGAGCTGTGCGGCCTGAGGTTTCTGGGCAGAAGCTTGGAAGCCATGGCTTTGGAGGGGAGGGGAGGGGTGGCCTTGGCCGCAGCCCACGCGCTGTGCCCGACAGCCCCTGCCTCAGCACCCTCTGCACGCGGGGGATTCGTCTGCCCTGCATGTATATTTTAAAGGATTATTAGTCTTTTATTTTCTTTCTTATGATATCTATTTGGTGTCCTTGTTAGGATAATACTGGCATTAAAGAATGAGTCCTCTCTTTCTCTCTCTCTCTCTCCTTAAAGAGTAAGAGAAGGGTTAGTGTCACTTATCCTTTAAATGTCTGGTAGAATCTGCCAATGAAGCTATTTGGTCCCGGGCTCTTCTTTGTTGGAGGCTCCCTGTTGTTTATTTCCAGTCTTTGTTTATTATAGATCTATTTAGATTTTATTTCTTGAGTCAGTTTTGACATTTTGAATGTCTGAAAATTTGTCAACTTCCTGTGGGGTATAACTGTTGATAGCACTTCCTGTAGTTGGGGTATAACTGTTGATAATCCTCTTTATTTCTGTAAAGTTGGCACTAACAAGCTCTCTTTCATGCCTCATTTTTAGCAATACTAGTTATTTATTTGTGTTTTTTTCTTGGCCAGACTAGTTTATATATTGTTAATTTTGTTAATTTTGTTAATTGCTTCAAGCAGCCAACTTTTTGGCTCTTTTTAAAGATACACACAGCATATAAATTACCATTTTAACCCCATATGTGTCAGTTCTGTGGAATTAAGTATCCTCACATTGTGCAACCATGACCATCTGTCTCTAGAACTATTCTGTCACAGAAAGCTGGATCTCATCACTCATTAAATCCCTGACTCCCCACTTCCTCCTTTGCTTAGCTCCTTCTGCTTTCTGTCTGTATGGATGTGCTGACTCAGGACTCCATGTGAGTGAAATAACAGACTGGTTATTGTTTGGTGACTAGCTCATTTAGCATAATGTCTTCAAGCTTACCCCATGTTAAAGCTGTATGCATGCACATGATGTGCTTAGCTATTGTAGACACAAATTATGTTAGTTTTCTGTTGCTAGGAAAAATTCCTGGGGTGAATAAATGAGAAGAACAAGGTTGTTTTTCACTGATGGTGTAGGAGTTTTAGTCCGGAGGTTCTGCCACCTCCCAGTGGTGCCTCGGGCTGGAAATCAGACCTTTATAATTAGTCTTCGGGAAATATTGAAGAGCCGGTTAGGTACTACGAAGTATAATTGGTAATTATATATGAGAATATATTTAATTTAGTAAGAAATTAACTGAACTATTTTCCAGGATGCCAACATTCATTTGCATTCTGATGATGGTGAACAAGTGTCCTTATTGCTTCACACTTGGTACCGTGATTGTCCCAGAGCTTGGTCATTCTTGAAGGCATGTGACAACATCCGACCACTGTTCTCACATTTCCTTGATGGCCTGTGCTCCTTGTGCTCACACTCATATCTGTTAAGGTGTTGTGTTCATTTGTTGTCCATCGGAGACTGGATCTTGTAGCCCTGGCTGGCCTTAACCTTCTGGTGATCCCCTTACCTCTACCTTTTGAGTACTGGAATTACAGGCATACACCACCACACCTAGTTCTAATAAGGTTTGGGGCCCATTTTTAAAATCGGCTTGTTTCCTTATTGTTGAATTTTAAGAGTACTTTGTTTCATTTTCCAATGTGTTGTGTAAATGCCATCCTTTCCTTTTACTCATCTATCTTCTTTTTAAACATAGACATAGCTATAATCCTTTCTTGAATTTTGAAACTGACTTCCATGTAAAGGTTTTCTGGTGTTTAGGACAGGCCCACTAGGCAGTTTGGAATAAAGGGGAAATAAGTTACATTGCTATGATTGTAGAGATCTTCAGATAATAAAAATCTGTGGGTCAAAGCCTTTCCTATGCAATGGGTGTGCTGACTATGTGTTCATTATAGCTGATGATGATGTAGATGGTGACTAGAATATATGAAACTGATGCTTGTGTTGGGATCAAGATAGCACAAACATATTTTCTTAGTTTATTAGTTTTTCTGTATATTTTTAAAATACAGTGATTCTTGGCCCAAATATCTTTATCATGGCAATAATTAAGTAAGCAAATTTGACCAAATCTTGACATTATTTTTAAGGAAGCAACCTGTCTCAACTATCATGATATTTTTAATTCGCCACCAATGATTTAGTAAAACTATGTTTAATTCTTGTAACCTCGAGTGTATTAAAAGACAAAGAGTTTCCACCCCTGCCCACTCTAGTGTTCTACTGGTGTATATAGAATTACACATATTTCTGGCCAGAGGTTTGGGTTTCTAATTTTAAGATTGAAGATAAATATTGGCAGAACTTTTGGCCACCTGGCTGCCTGGCACAGGAGTGCCACACAGATATAAAAGCTCAAGGAGTGTGAACCATAAAATGGTATCTTAAGACAGTTTAAAGGCAGGTAGTAGAGCACTTTTATGGAATTGGGCAAGTGGACTCATTGCTGAACTGTATCATTTGTCAGAGCAGAAGAATAATAGCTCAGGTTTCTTTAAATAAAACGTGCATTTCCAGAGGGACTAGGCTCCAGAGGAAGAGATTGTTAGTGAATGAAATAAAGGAACTACATAATGTTAACTATCTTTCCCGAGTAACTGGGCATTAAGCCGGCAGTGACAGGCTTAGGCTTAGGGGACTTCAACTCAGAGCAAATTTCACTTATAAAACTCAGAGAACCGTTGGTCTAGAAGAAAGATTTTTTAAAACATAACTTTATCCAAATGCTAAATTTTAAGCATACTTTCTCAAATATGTATATCTCAGAATTATCACATACCTTACAGTGATCTCTACTGAACATAAAGGAATGCCCAAAGTCAGGCCATTGAGTAGCTATCATTGAGTAAGAACTTGGTAGCAGAGGACTGATTGCACTTCCTTGAAATTCTCAACTGGAAATGAGCAAACCTTATGCTTTCAAAAACATAACTTCAGTTACAGCTCTGAGCAACACCAGCATTCCAACTCACTTAGCTCTGGGATGGTCCAGAGTAATTTCTATTATAATGTGTTCCAGAGCCTATTTCAAAATACATCCCAGGGGATGATGTTGGATATAAAAGTCAACCAATAAAATCCCCAACTAGCCTCTAAAACTTGAAGCAGAGAACAATTTGGACCCTCCATCTGCCTCCATCCTTCCAATCCTTTGTGACTAGGGATAATCCCCCTGCTGTCAATGAGGCAACACCTGGATTCTCTGACACCAAATCCTGACTGCTTTGTGGCCTCATTCTTACTTCTCTACTTGGAAGTTCAGAACAATGATGAATGAAGCTGTACCTCTTGGGCATCTGTAAAGCTAACAGCTGTCTTTAATGACTCCTAGTGTGTAATGAGGGATTTGCATTTCCTATATCCAAACCTCTGGTGAATTCTGTAAGGTGTTCAGATCCTCATAGTCCACACAAATAACCTAAACCAAACCAGCACTGCTGGCAGTTCCTCTGGCTTTCCATATCTTGGTTTCCTATGCATATTAATACAGATTAGAGTGTCTGTCTTGCCAGCTACTCTCATTGGTGTTCCTGGGAGCAAAGGCATAATGCCCCTCACATCTGCTATGTTTTTTTTGGGGGGGGGGTGGGATCTGGTTCTGGACATTCTGATGCAGGTAGTCAAGGGCAAGGGCCATGTTTCCCAGCTATGTGGCTTTGTCCAAGTTACCCACTCCCCTGAACTGTGGATTTCTCATCTTTGAAAGGTAGATAACAGGCCCTTGTAGGGATCCCGTGAATCACAAGTAGACTATGAGAAGCCTTTAGTGCAGTGCTCAGCATTTGTTGACATTCTCTACAGTGCTCAGTGCTATCTATCATAGATATCTTTCATGCGTGGGCATTTGCAGAAGAATCAAAGACGACCAGAGGCTAAACTTTGTACCAATGTCTTGATACCGGAGAAGTACTCTAACCCATGACAAGTGGCTTCCTGACACAGATAAAAACAAATAAACAGCATTGCTACCACATTCACTGGCCGTGGTTACAGGTCTTCAGGGCTCATGATTCACACCATCTACCCAGGCTTCTCGGAGCTGTTCTGACCAGCCTCTCATACTATATGTCTCATAGTTTCTATTTGCCTATTGTGATGGCCTTTTCTTTCATTAATCAGTGAGGAGTGATTGAGACTGGCATAATCTAGAGCATACAGGCATCCAAAATGCCAACAGCAGAGGGTTGGCACGAGTGGGACAGACAATTCTTTGTGACTTCATTGTGATCATTTTTTTGGATTGTATAAGGAGCTATAGAAAGACATATAAAAATGAAACTTCTTTCTTAACTTTTATTTCAAAAAGCCATTAAAAACATATGCAAGAGACTGAAATTCTAATGCCATATTAAGATCCAAGTCCCTCAGGTGGCCAGCATGGAATAGTTCCGTTATTTTGAGACCGTTTCTGGCTATGCAGGCAGGGTGGCATCACGATCTTCCTGCCTCAGCTTGAATGTTGGGATTACAGGCATGCACCACTAGTCCTGGCCCTCTGTGTAACCCTCTAATCAATCTGTTCACAGGAGGGCAGATAAGCAGGATACTTAGATTACTACATTTACCACAACATAATAATAGTTAGGGACTGGCCAAAGGGAGCTTTGTGGCTAGGTAACCCTGTATAAATAGGAATCACAACTGATCAAAATGTAAACAAGCCGTTTCCAGATGCCAGCACAGCACAGCCCTGCTAGTCCCAGCTATCCCACTATGGTGATTCTCACTCTGTGTTTCTTTGCTGTGTGATCTCTGTGTATCTTTTCCCAGTCATCATCTTCTGTATCCTGGTCAAAAGTCTCAGGGTAGGCTGGCAGCTTGTCTTTGGGGCATTCTTCATAGTAACTCCGAACGTATTTTCCCACAGGCCATCCTTTGTACTCTTCTGGTGTTTTGCACTCCAGACCGTTATAGTGGACATTGTAGTGGTGCTTTAGCCAGTAGTATAGGTAGTGGATATTGTAGTCGCATCTCCAAGGGTTGTCTCTGAGCCACAGGAGTTTCAGAAAATACAGATCTTCTAACACTCCATAGTCAAAGTTCTGCAGGTTGTTGTTTGATAGGTCGAGCTCTTCTAGATGTGTGAGCCCTAAAAAGGCAGCTAGAAACAGAGTGTTAGCCAGTGAGCAAGGAAACTGTACAACTGCACATGATAAGACCAAACACAGATTTCAATTAGAGGCTCAGTTCTTGCTGTTACAGCATTCTCTCCAGTACATGTGCAATCCTAAGTGTTTTCTCCTCTCATTTGAACTGTCTCCAAGTCATGAAGGTTGGGCAGAGACTGTCGAGGGGGGAGAGTAGCAGGCTTCATCTCAATGCTACTGTGAGGACAGGGAACTAACTTTGCTGGGGCCTTGCTTCTAGTTGCAGTCTACTTCCTATCATGAAGAAGTATGAAGGAAGTATGCATTGTTAGCATAAAGACACTGAGCTAAACCAGATGGTGACCCTACCAATGGATTAAAAATGTACTGTGAGGCCTTCTTTCTTTAGGACTAGCCACTACTTATTACGAAAGCATGTGCAGAATGGGTCCTTTGGAAGTGCAATGGCTTTCTGACTTTGCAATCTGTGCCTTTGCCTGTGATTTGCATCATATTCTAGTATAATGTTTAGTCAGTAAGGCTCTATTACTGTGGAGAGGATTTCTGGATTGGGAGTTGTTGTTTCTTAGTGTGTCTCCCTAATGAGCATATGAAGAAATGCAAAAATAGGAAATACACCTTTATTCAAACAAAGCTTTTCCTAGATTACATAGACCAGTGTGTGATATTTTATTTGAAAAAGTCACTTTGAAGCTTTTATTTGAAAAAGTCACCTTAAAGCTAGACTTTAAACATTTTTCTGGGGCATGGAGAAGGCCTGCAGGAGGTATTGATACCATGCAATTTCTGCCCAGTGCTCTGAATGTCCTAGTAAAAAGTGCACTTTTCTGGTGTACATTTTTTTTGTACTTCCCGGGAAGATGTTGCAGAAAGGGGGTGCTGCATAAATGAGGAAAGTGTATCAAATGTAAGACCTTAGTGTAGGGAAACAGAAACCTAGGACAGCTTCCTAGGTTATCAGTGAATTCTAAAAATGTCTACAAAATAATCTTTCCAGGTTTAGTAGCGCTGATGGTGAGAGTCTATTTTTGTAGAGTTCCAAGCCAAATAATTTCTACCAGTGTTTTTAAAACATCTGGTTGAGTTTGGTAAGTGGTGGTAACTATCAGAATTTGTATGCATTTGATTTAGCTGGATGATGAGCAATTAGAACAAAATAACACATAACAAAATAAACAATTCTTCAAGAACAAAGAAATCTACACATAAAGATCTATCACATATTTCAAGATTTACAGGTCATTCCTGACTTCAAACATTTAGTTTCTATTTTGAACATTTTTGCATTACTCCTTCAAAATGCCCTCATGAGAACATAGTATCTTTATTTTTGAATCTGGAAATATGCTGTATACTAATACTATTAACTATTTTCATATCATCTTTTCTTGGACAAAACCCCAAACAGGCTGCTTTCTCTTTTTGGACAAAGCAAAGCCTGAGGCGTGGGGGTGGGAGACAGATCCATCCTTGTGATAGTTCTGGAAACTAGGCGTTTTGAGGATCATGTGCTAAAACTCTAACATCAGGCTGTCACAAATTCACTTTTTTGAAGCAAGTCAGTGCTCTGGATTGAAAGCACATGCAAATAAATAGTTTTGCGTTCTATTTCAGAAGAGCTACAGTTGCTATTAAAGTGTGTGTATCTAGGGCCTCTAGGAGAGCTAGTTTTGTTTCTTGAAGGAAGTAATACCCCTAGTAGGTGGCTTCTTTCCTTTTCTCCACAGTTGCCCTGCGTTTTTCTAGACTGTCACCATCTTCTTCAGTCTGGTGCTCCACATTTGCTCACTAGGCAACCTAAACTCTTAAGGAATTCACTGGGCAGTGCTTCATCCCAAGGATCCTGAAACACAGTAGGTCTTTTAAAACTGCTGTAGTTCATTTTGTCTGATTTAAGTTCTAAGATCACTTTCTTTTGTTCTAAAGGACCTACCAATAAAAGTGCTTGGCACTTGGTTCAATACATATGCATTGATGAAAATGCTTCCCTTGTGTTGAATAAGCAAAGGGAGGATGGGAAGGAGGAGAAGAGGAGTGCTCTTTGTATCTCACGGTGCTGTTGTGCCTGCACCATTGTTACAGCACAGCTGCTTACTGTTTTTCCACATTTAACAGAGGCTGTAGAATCATTGGCATTTAGCTTATTTTAACAAACGCTCTAAGAGTCATCTTCATTCATTGGTTGCATGTGTGTATTTGTGTCTCTGTGTTGCTGGTAATTGAACCCGGGGTCTTGTACTTGTTCTGTGAGTGCTCCACCACTAAGCTATACCCTGGCATCCAGTTGCTTTGTCAACCAGAGATTTGAGTGATAATATTACACAGAAATTAGATGCTTGCTCAGGGACCATTGGCACAGCATGCTTGTTCTATGGATCTGTGGTTCTCATGAGGCATAAGAGGGTCTCTACCTCTGGGTTCCTTAACCTGTGGCCTGACTTTGTAGAGACTGGATACCAGTAACTGATATGAACATTAGTATAGTGACTGTAAGAAAGAAATATCTTTTTGTTTACTGTGAAGAGAAAATTGCTGTTAATCTTGCCATTTAAAGTACAACATGTGTACAGGCTAAGGTAAGTGTGGCCAATTATTGTTCCTTTAAAAATTGAAGTTGTAAGTTTGTAATATTTAATCAATGTATTAATTCTGAAATATGCCTTTGTGGCCCCAGAACATTCATCTTCAGTTTTCGCTTCCATCTGTTAGAATTATGGCATTCTTCTAGTACTTGTGCTATTATTAAGGGAAGCAGAGGGGCTGCAGAGATGGCTTGCCAAGCACGAGGACCTGGGCTGTGTCCTCAGAACCAGTGTAAAAGGCTGGGCAGGGTAATGTGGGCCTGCAGATCCAGTGCTGGGGAGATGGGGACAGAAGGATCTCGGGGCTCCCAGGCCGGCCAGTTTAGCTGGTTGGTGAGCTTAAGATTCAGTGAGAGACTGTGCCTCAAAAAATAAAAGGGAGAATGACTGAAAAATACACTATCAAACTCTGCCTATACACACATGTATACCCACACACATGAAGGCACAGAAGTAATCTCTCTAGTTATTTTCTTTTACAAGAAGAAACAATTGTACTCAAAATGTTTCTAGCATTTTGCTGCATATTGCTGCATTATTATAATAAGTATTTTACTTATAAAGGATCATTTTCTATCTGGGCTTTTTCGACGGCAAGCACACTGCAAGGGCACAAGTGTGTGTCATAGCTAGCAGCCATGGTTCTTACCAGATCTAGTTTTTGCTGAATTTACTGGATTCATTTTTCTCCAGAGGCTTTGCTTGGCAAGGGTTGAGAGACTCAAAAGGGTAGAAAAGAGAACTGATCTCAATCTAGGAGTATGGCTAATCTGTCTTACCCTGATTTGAGCATGTTTTACCTAAATTGATAAACCCAGCACCTTGCAGTTAGTTTTGAATTTATACTACATAAATGGGGCGTAATGAATACTCTCCGGGATCAAATCTGAGTTGCCATTTTAAAACCATTACATACATGTTCAGTGTATGAATGACCCCTTGCCACACATTCCTGTCTTTTCCACTGTGTGTGAGTGATATATGTGCCTGTTCATGTGGGTGGTGTGCACATATGTGTGCGTGTGTCTGGAGGTGAAGTCCAACATCAGATGCCTTCCTCAGTCTCTGTCTTAGTTTTGAAACAGATTCTCACTGAACCTGAGACACGTTTGTTTGGCTACAGCTGCTGGCCTTGCATCCTCATACATGTGTCATACATGTGTGCCACTGCGCCCCACTTTTATGTAGATGCTGGAATCTGAACTTAGGTCTTTGTGCTTGTGTAGCAGCCACTTTACCAAGCAGCCATTTCCTCAGCCCTAATTCTATTTCTAAAAATCTATATAGGTGTTATAGTGTGAACCTGTAATAGAAGCACCTGAGGAGCCAGGTGTGAGAGAGTGTACCTGCATTGGAGCCAGGTGTGATAGTGTGCATCTGTAATAGAAACAAGGTGTGATAATGTGCACCTGTTCTAGGAGCCAGGTGTAATAGTGTGCACCTGTACTAGGAGCCAGGTGTGATAGTATGCACCTGTACTAGGAGCCAGGTGTGATAATGTGCACCTGTAATAGGAGCCAGGTGTGATAGTGTGCACCTGTAGTAGGAGCCAGGTGCGATAGTGTGCACCTGTAGTAGAAACCAGGTGTGATAGTATGCACCTGTAGTAGGGGCGAGGTGTGATAGTGTCAACCTGTGTAGGAGCCAGGTGCGATAGTGTGCACCTGTATAAGAGCCAGCCAGGGCAGGAGAATGAGAAGTTACGAGCAGTCTGGACTATAGTTGTGAGAATCCGTCCACCTCCACTGTGTGTGTGTGTGTGTGTGTGTGTGTGTGTGTGTGTGTGTGTGTCTATTCTGTAGACACCTTTGTTTTCTGGGCTTATTGAGTAAATATTTCTTAGTACTGTGTAGTCAGTGCCCTGCATCTGTCAGATTCAACCAACCACAAATCAAAAATAGCTGAAAATGGCATTTGTTCCGGATATGTAGTGTACTCACTAGACTTACTCTGTACACAATATAGTATAACAATGGTTTATAGGACATTTTGTTATACCAAGTTTTATCAATAAGAGTGATTAATGAAAGCATTAAGGGGGAATGTACGTGTGCCATTGTACAAAAGGACTTTGGTGTCTGAGAGGGGTCTTGGAACAATGGCCCTGAACACCAAGGGATGACTGGATAGTGCTACACCCTTTGTAAAGCAACATTTTGGCCCATACTTCTGAGTACCAAACAAGTTCTATTTTAAATATCATGTGTAATTAAAACCCATGCTTTTTGAACTTAGTTTTCTTTTATTATTAAACTAGATGGTGTTTACTATAGATGTTACCATAGAAGGAAACTCCCAGCACAGCTGCTGCCCCTTGAAGGGGGGCCATGCAGTGGGACTTACCAGGATCTATGAATCCAATGCCGTTGCTGCTCAGGTTTAACTTCTTTAATTCGTGAGCATCTTCAAATTCCTTGGGTCGGAGCTGGCTGATTTTGTTGTATGACAAGTCAAGCTTAACAATGTCTGGAGGGATGTTGCCTGGGACTTTCTTCAACTCTGGAAAAAGTAAATAGTGCTTAGGTTACAGGTTTTTGGATCCTATTTTCTATAACCTGTGAGGCTGCAGCACCAGCTTAGTGGGGGAAGAGCTAGCAGAAGGCAAAGTGTCATCCCTAGAGAGAGGTAGAAACTGCCGAAGAGGAAGACCCTGTAGGTCACAGGTCACAACACCTAAGACTTCTGAGTCATCTGAGAAGCAAAGGAACTCCATCTTGGTGACACCAGATGCCGATCAGGAAACATTTTGAAAGGCTGGGCCTGGTATTGCACATGGGAGACAGGGATAGGGAGATTGCTGCAGGTTTGAGGCCTGCATAGGACACATAGTGAGTTTCAGGCCAGCAAAGAGCTACAGAATAACACCAGGCAGAAAGCAGAGAGTGCACTGGTCAGTTTTTGTCACCTCTATGCAAACTAGAGTCACCTGGGAGAGGGCACCTTAAATGAGGAATTGCTTCCATGAGATTGGGCTATATACATGTCTGTGGAACATTGTCTTGATTAATGTTTGATGTGGAAGTGCCCCACAAACCGTGGGTGGTGCCAGGACAGGCAGTCCTGGATTGCTTAAAAAAGCAAACTGAGCAACCCATGGAAAGCAAGCCAATAAACAGCATTCATGGTCTCTGTTTCAGTTGCCTCCTCCAGGTTGGCTTCCCTTGATAATGGACTACCATCTGGTGCTGTAAATTAGAATAAACTCTCTTGTTTTCAGTCAGGGGTTGGGAGAGCTATCAGTGAGTCTGCTGTTTCCTTCTCTTGTTCTTTTTCTCCTAAGGAACTGTCACTGTCTCCACGTCAGTTGTTTCCTTTCTGTTATGGCTTCATACATCCATCAATTTTAGGTGTCCTCTGCCAACAAATGATCTCAGGCTCCATTCTCATAAACACCCCACTTTCGACCTTCCTGATCTTTCAAACCATAGGAACGCCCCCCCCATCCTCAAGAGCAACATTCTAAGGCCCCCCAGTAGATGCCTAAAACCACAGATCTCATTAAACCCTGTATACACAGGCTGGGGGCAAAGTTTACTTTATGAAGTAGGTGCAGTAAGGGCTCAACAACAATATTATACAGGAAAATAGAGCAATTACAAGTTTGCTTTACTAAGTCACTAAAACCTTACAAGTGGTTTATTTCTAGAATTTTCTACTTAATATTTTCAGTTCTTGGCTGACCACATATAAACTGAAATCAAAAAAAGAAAATTAATACAGGGAAAAGAGGCACTATATCTTACTTCTGCTTTCCTTAGATGATGCTAAAATTCATGCTTGTGTTGTCAACCTGACCCCCTTTCCACCCACATAATTCCCAAATCCTTGTGATGGAGTTTACTTCAGCACACCCAAAAGCTTCCTGCTTCAGCAGTATCCAGGTTCTTGGGAAGAGCAAGCTAGCAATAGCAGCGTGACAGGAGGAGCGGGTTATTTTCTCAAAGGCAGTAGGAAACCAATGCTCACCTCATCTTAGCTTCTGCTATTTATGTTTCTATCTTTAAATCATGCTTTTCAAAAATTGTTAATCACACCTGCATTGTGTTGTACAGGGAGACTTGCCATTTCTCTTGGTCTCTAGCAAGACAAAGAGACCTGGATTAGTTTTGGTCAGGGCAACTATAGCCTATGGAGGGAGGAGACTGGTTCTCATGAAGGAAAACCAGAAGAAACCATAACATGGCCAGACTGATGAACATCTGTAGAGTAGGGTGCCCAAGGGCTTTCTGGGAAAACAAAAATTCTTAGAACCAGGAAGGGTGATGTTCATTATCCACACTGCCCTTTTTGGTACAGAAAAGCGAATAGTTCCATGAAATATTAATTAAACACGACTCTGGAATTTATGATTTCTTAGCCCTAGGTATATTTACAACCATAGTGACTTGGACCTAGTTTTTGCTTTCCTCTTAGCGGCCCAGATTACATGACCTTTTTGTGCATGTGTGCATGTGTGTTTATGTATGTGCATGTTCTCTGGGTATATAGACTCATGCCTGTGAAAGTCAGAAGTCTCCGGGAGATGCCCACATTTGTTTTGAGACAGGGCCTCTCACTGGGATCTGGGCTCACTGATTAGCCTAGGCTGGCTGGACAGTGAGCCCCTGGGATCTTTCTGTTTCTGCTTCCTTAGAGCTGGGATTCTAGGCATATGCAACCATACCCAACTTTTTACATGGCTGCTGAGGATTGAACTCAGGGCCTCATGCTTTCATGGCAAGCACTTTCCTGACTGTTCTGTGTTTCCATCCTGGTCTTGAATGGGATGGTATTGGAAGTTCATTTCTTAATGTACCCCCTCCAAGTCTTACTTCCTGGAATTTCTTTCCCCTTCTTGTTGGTCTCTTACTATCTCAGCCCTGATCTAGGTACTCTTAATAGAATTAAAGGAGGAGAACTGTGTAAGTCCCATTATTATCCTCATTTTATAGAGGTGAAAATGGGGCACAAAGCAGTTAGATCATCTGCCCATAGTTACATGGTCACAATTTAAACATGCTAACCTGGCACCTAAGGCACTATCGCTCTGTTGTCTATCTGTGCCAGCCTTCTGTTTCATGGACATGTCCACTGTCTAGGACCCCACCTGAAACATGCATGTATGTGGGGGAAGAAGAGCTAATAGGTGGGGTCAGCAAATCAAATCAAAGCCAAGGTCCTCTAGGGGACATTGGGTCCTTGTCACCAGCACCAGCACTTCCTCAGTTCTAGCAAGGCTATTGACCAGAATTGGCCTACTGAACCCATATCAACTGGACCGGACTTGAGGACAGATGACAGGAGAACCATAGTAAAACGAGCTGAAAGTGGGTTAGCCACAAATCATTGGGTAGAGAAGATGTGTATAAAAATACCCTGAAGCCCAATTTAAGCAATGGCTTTGTGGGTTTTAGAAAAAGAATATGAATTGTAGAATCAACCTTGGAGTTGTCAGCAAACTCTTGAATAAAAATAGCATATGCAAGTAGCAGGAAATGCAAGCCAAGAGCTTTCCTACCACGACCTAGAAACAAACAGGGAAATCTCGTTGGTTGTGGTGATGAGGAAAAGCAGCCCCTTCTTTTGCCTTGAATGTGAATAAGAATTATGAATTTGATGCCAAATGTGTATCTCTGATAGAGAACAGACAAATACACACTTGCTCATGCCAAATCCAAACTTCATCAATGTTCTCATTTCTAGACCAGGTACCATCTGGCACCTGTATTTCACATTAACCACTAAGCAAAACATTTTGAGGTGGGGGAGGGGAAGGCTTAAGATAGGGCCTAGCTTTGAACTTGCTTCATGACTTGAACAAGGAAGGTTCTGAACAACCCATCCCTTGCTTCCAACTCTGAGTGCCGGGCTTGCAGTTGGGGGCCATATTCTTGATAAACACCTCCAAAGATGCTCTATTTACCATCAGCTCTTACGCACTCCACCCCTCCGCCAACAAAACCTCACTCTGAAGAGGAAATTGAGAATTTCCTCCTCATCATTTTTCCCACTTAGGCTTTTGGTTGTCAGCAACCTCAGGGCTAATTTGAAGACATGGTAGTAGTTAAAGAGACATATGTCAGCTTGTTTATTAGAAATTTAAATGTCTTAATTATTATTGAAATCAGGGGCAACATTGTGGCCCTGGTGTTAGAAGTACCTGGAGGCACTTTGCCTATATAACTCTTCACATTCCTCAAAGTAAAACTGGCACATTATTCTGGTAAATTTAGAGCTGAAAGTAGTTTTAGAGTTCATACTTTGTGTTCTTGGAAAATCCAGTCATGTCAATATGGCATAAATGTACCTTTCAACTAATTCCACACCCATTCCCTTTGAAAAGCTGAGTTATGTTGGCAAAGTGCCTGTTGCTCAATGAATAAAGCTATTATTATTATATATTTTGTTTCTGTCAGATGTCTAAGGTATAAATAGTGATTTTTGAGGTCTATGTGGTTGAATTGGCACAAGTTAGTACCCTGTGTGGGTCATCTGAGTTACTGCTACTCTGTTGGGAATTGATTTCCCTCACTGGAAGGAGCCACACCAGTTCCCTGCTTGGGTTCACTGTGTGCTGTTCTTGTATAGAGCTCAGGAGGAGGCTTCAATATTGGGAGAGTACATACGAGACATGAGTAAATTCTTGGTGTCGTGAAGGAAGAGAATAGTATTGCATGGTGGCTTATAGCTTAAGTGGTAAATTACTACTGCCTTGTGACCTCCTAAGGACAGCTTCTCTAAACCCATCTTTGCTGTTTATGACATGACATTTATCATGTTGATTATGGCAGCACTACTTTAGGCCTGTGAGGAATAAGTTACCATGTATTTAACCATAGGCAGTTAGAGAGTGGCTCTTGTTCACTAATGTAACATGCTTTAAGTCTCTGGAGACTCTGTATTTTGTGTGACATATATAGTAGAATCATCAAAGGCATTGATAACACTCCAGCATGGTCCTAGCAATGAACATTTCTGATAATTTGCTATTTTAGTATTTGTTATCCATTTATAAAACAAAACAAAGAAACCAGATTAAGGTGTCATATTTGAATTCTAGCCATGATTTTCAGCTGCTATGTATTTCTGTTGTCAAAACTGCTTAAGTTACTGCTTTGACAGAGTGAAGAAAATCAGCTCAAATATTGTCACCCAGTGTCCAATGCTGGATGCTAAAAAAAAAGGAGTTTAATAGACTTTTCCTCATAGGAATGAGACTTAAAATAGGAATTTATAATAAAGCAAAAATGAAAAATAAACAATGAATAGAGTTGACAGATTTATGTGAACCACAGTGAAAGGCATTTGTGCTTAATTATGAAAGAATTAATTAGCCTTTATTTTGTAGTCTGCAGTTTGAGGCTCTGCCTGGTATTGGGGATGGAGAGAAGCTAGTCAACAGTTACGGTGGGAGGAATTGTTGTGATGTGCTAGATGATAGCATAAGTATGGCTGACAACAATTGTACATCTCAAGTAGCTAGCAGAGAGAATATGGTATGTTTCCAGCACAAGTGATAATGTCTAAAGTGATAGATCAGTTACTCTGATCGGATTGCAGAACATCATTTACATGAATTAAAATATCACATTGTAAAATATCACAAACACTCTCAGAATTACTACCACATTGCAATTAAACATTTAAAAAATGAAAATACAGACTCTGAATTTTACATAGTCACTAACAATTAAAGGGACTTGGGTTGTCCTTTTATGACTCAGTGTTATATGAGGTAAATTTATGTGTCATGAAATGTTATTCTTATTGGTTCCCTGCAGTTTTGCAGCAAAGAGGATTAATTTGTGGGGTATTTTTGGATGATTATATTTAGGCAACAATAAGTTGCAAAAGGAAAGCAATAAAATATGTTTTCTAGCTGATATTTGCCAAGAGAAATGTTTTATGAGAAAAAAGACAAAATAAGAACTTTGCTCATTGGTGGGTAGTAGTGGTGGTGGCCCAAGAATAAGAAGCAAGTGAGACAGGGCCTCTCTACATAGCCCTGGAGACCAGGCTGGCCTCAAACTCATAGAGATCTACCTTCCTCTGCCTACAGAATGCTGGAATCAAAGGTGTGTGCCACCATGCCCAGCTTAACCCTCACCTCTTATGGCACGGTGTAGTCTGTGTCTTTTATGTGGTTGGTATTTTTCTCAGATAACTGGTGAGCTCAATCCTGCTTGCTGTTTGACACCCACTGTAGCAAGAGCAGTTTCAACTAAACTCAACCACAGAACCTCAGTAATACCAGAAGTTTCAGCCCAGGGTTCAGTCTGTAATCTATGTAGTGCAAAAGAAGGCTCAGGAGAAGGCAGCACAAAGCCAGCACTCAGTGCAACGATACCAAGGACAGTCCATCAGGTCAGAGGCAGTGGATTCCCCTGGAGCCAGAGGTATGGGTGGTTATGACCCACCTGATACATGTGCTGGTAATTAAACTTGGGTCCTCTAAAAAGCAAAACACACCCCTGGTTTTGAAACAGGGTCTCATGAAGCCCAGGCTGGCCTCCAACCTCCCAGGTAACTGAGGATGACCTTGAATTTGTTTTCATTTGCGTATGCTTTGTTTTGTTTGGTGGTGTGAATTTTTTAGGAGTGTGTGTTTTGAAGCAGTGTCTCACATAGCCCAGGCTATCCTTAAACTCATTGTGTAGTCAACTTCAGATCCCCTTGTCTTTACTTCTCAAGCACTGGGATTGCAGGTGTATGCCACTCTTCCCAGTTTATGTGGGTCTGGGGTTGAACCCAGGTTTTGGCACATGCTAGCCTGGTGCCTTACCAACTTATGTCCTCTTCTCCTGCTCCCTAGTTAGCAGCTGCCTTGAATTGGACCTCACAGATTCCATTGTTGGTGGTGAAGGCCACCTGATAGCTCCAGGCACCGTGGGATGTAGGGAGAGGAATATTACTAGATACCTTTTCGAACAGCCTGCCAAAACAGAAAAGGGAAGAAGTCACCCACCTTTACTCTTGCAGTCCAGTGTTTGTATGGGAAACACGTAATTGTGGCACAGCGTGGAGTCGGCTTCCGGCCTGATGACTGGGGGTCTCCCTGAGACTTGGGGTTTGGGGTCTAGTTGCTCCCTTTCCTCTTCATCACATAATTCTTCAGGCTTTAGTTGCAGCAATTTTTTATTTTTCATTGCTGGTGGGCTTTCACACTTGGCATAATTGCCCAAATTCCGGTTCCGTGGGATCTGCAGCATTGAAACGAGCGTTTCTAACTCACACATACAGTGCCAGGGGTTGTCATAGAGACGCAGGTAGCTCAGGAGAGGGGTGTAAATGAACACCTCCTCCGTCAGCACCTTGATCTGGTTGTGCTGCAGCAAGAGGGTGGTAAGCTTGTTTAAACCAAAGAATGCATCGCTCTCAATTTTAGAGATCTCGTTCTGTTGCAGGTCCAGGCTCTTCAGCCTTTTGAATCTTGAAAACATGTTGTTCTTCAACACACGGATTTTGTTTCTCGCTAAGAGCATGTGCAGCAAATCTTGAGGCCAGTTGGGTAACACATACACTAATTTTCTTTCCTGGCAGTCCAGGTATTTCTCATGGAGGTATGTGTATACATCACAGGGGAGGCCTGGTGCATAGCGTTTGACTGGGGCTTTCCTGCTGCCACCTGCCCGGCTGCGGCTGGGATTGACCTGGCTTCTCAAAGTGCCAGGACTGGCTTTATGGAGCTCAGCAGCTCTGCAGAAGCAGAGAAGAATCAAGATGGTCACTATGCGCATTCTGATGTCCAGCTGGCCCCACAGCAGGTGGAACAGGAGTCTTCCTTTGAAATCCGAGTTTGAGTAGCTTTAACAAGCACAGGTCAGGAGCAGTAAAGCCCAACTGAGGTGTATAGGTTCCTAGGTGGGACAGAAGAAAGACAGAAAACAGACAGTTAAGTGCCATTTTGAGCAATATATGACAGAAACAGCAGACTTGTTTTATTTTTTTCTGAGCCTTCTAGTTTAAGTGGACAAAAAGTGCTGTAGAAGGTTCTTTTCCCTTTTACTTGCCTAGTTTAGTTAGCAGGTATATGCTTGGCCCTAAGTTTGAATCAAGGCTCTCATTCTTCCAGACTGTACTCAACCTTATCTTCAGCATTTGTAAAATGTGGCTTATGGTGTTTTCTGGTACCTGGGCAGATGAAAGGGGCTCGGTGCCTGGCCCTGGCTCTCAACATTTTGGGCTCAGCCTGGTGAACACTCAAACCTATGTTCCTCATTATGTGGATTTAAGACATAGAAGGGATTCTCTTGTGGGCCCTGTAGCTGTGACCTTCCTGGGCTTATGTTTTCCTTTCTTTTACTCTGTCCCAGTCACCACTGTCGAGTCCCAAAGAAACCCTGGACAAATGACTAAGTTATGTGCCTATTAACAAATCAAAATGACTGCTGGCCGCTGGCCGCCAGGTTCCTTCTGTGTTGCAGATACCCTTCCAGAGTCCTGGCTCCTCTCAACACTTCTCACCCCTGCCTGGCTCCTACTCTAAATCTTTGCAGCCCATGAGCATCACTTCTCTTTCCCCAGCTTCTCTCTCTTGTGTAACACCAGCACTCTCTCTTTGTGCTCTTTGTTCTCTTGGTCCTCAGCCCTTCATTCCTGGTCCCCTCTCTTGTCCTTTTCTCTGCCCCCCATCCTCTCATGGCTCACTCTGCTCTGCTGGCCGTGTCGTCTGGACTCTTCCAGATGCTTCTGGCTGAACTCTCCCTCATATCTACAATAAAAACCTTCTCCCCAATCATACTTAGGAGCTGTCGTGTCCTCGTTTTCACTCAGCCACTCAGGTTGAATTTGGACTCAGCAATATTCAGAGTAAATGGTGCTGTCACAGACACAAGGTCTTGTCTCAAATGTCACCATTTGAGAAGGTGACATGAAGGCTTCTCTGTTACCCCCATCCCAAGTGTTTCCTTCTTATCTTTCTCGCTTCATTTTTCTCCACAGTGTTCATCAGCCTCTGTTTAAGCAAATGTTTTCTTCCTTTTGTCCATTTTACTGCTACTGTGTTTCCATGACAATTTTTTAAAAAATATTTGTAGCTATTCTATCCTAGAGATTTACCACACAGACACTAATGTTATTTTGGGGACTCTACCAATGATTCCTAAGATCTGCATTTTTTTTTTTTCTTTTGAGACAAGATCACTATGTAGCTCAGGTCAACAACCTGCACTTTTGCTCCTCCTCTCCCCTCTGGAATTCTGGGTCTGCAGGCATGTGCCCCCCTGTTTACTTCATGTGATGCGTTGAGAGTGCTGGGCAAGTACTTTCCTGACTGAGCTGCATCCAAGCCCGGGTCTGCATGCTTCAAGAACTCTTCTGCCTTTTGTAAAAATGTTCTGGAAATATTTCTTGTTTGTAACTACCACTCAGTACAGAGTTCACTCTTAGCAAAGGAAGAAATATCCAAAGTAGATTTATAATGAGTAATGAGTCTGTTACTGGTGTTAGGATGCTTGGTTATGTGATGGGGGAAGTGCTTCTGTGTATGTGTTTGTCTTACTGGATGATAAACAAAGTACTGTTTGGCCAATGAGGCAGCAAGTTAGGCAGGACTAGGAGTCAAGGGGGATTCTGGGAAATGTAGTAAGAAGTGGTGATCCAGGCAGGAAGTGACATAGCAGGGAGACTCATATTTAAGGAAGGACAACTAGGAAATGCCCCTTTTCCCTTCTGCTCTTGCTCCAGCGCTATGTGATCCACCGGCAAGGGGGGATGCCAATGGAAGGCATCCGATAAGATAAGTCTTAGAAAATATATAGATTTATGATAATTAAGACTGAGCTAACAGATGAGAAATCCTAGTCATTGGCCAAGCAACATTGTACCTAATACAAGTCTCTGTGTATTAATTTGGGCCCTAACTCGGCGGGCAGAACTCAGGCAGCTGGCGGAGACCGCCCACGTGGCGGTAGGGCTCAGGTGGCTTTTGGCAGAAAGATTTATCGTAACAGTTATAAGTGCCAGATGTGCTTCATCTAGATATGAATAACTCTAGTTTGAGTGCCAAGGCCATCCTTACCTGTGTCCTTACCTGCATCCTTATCTGCATCCTTACCTGCATCCTTATCTGTGTCCTTACCTGCATCTTTACCTGTCTCATGCCTTCATCCTTTCCTGCCCACCTAGAATGCCTCCCCACTGCTTTGGGTCAGGCAGTTCTCACAATCACCATTTGGGTGCCCCCTTCCCCAAGTGTTTCTCATGGTACTTTCTGTATTGTCTAGCTGTCTGTGTACCTGTTTCGTTTTCCCCAAGCTATGCAATGTCTGTATTATTCAAGAGCTATTGAGGCATGGCTTTTCTCAACCTCACTTTTCTGCAAAGCATAATTATAATTTCTATGTAATTGTAACTTGAAAAGTTATAAAAAATAGTTTATTTCAATTATCATGCTTGTTAGTTGTTGGACAGGAGGTGTGCTGGCATCTGCAACATGCTTTGAAATGCATCAAAAATAATGCATAATTTAGGACCAACTGAGAGATGGGTGAGTGGACATGTAATAAAACCAGTACAAAATGCAGATTGTAATCCAGGTGGCAGAGGCGTAGGTGCTCCTGTGTGGTCCTCTCAATTTTTGCATATGTGTAAAAGTGGATGTAATAAAATATTTTAAAACTAAAACTAAAAAATGGGTCTGGGGAGATGGCTTAGTCAGTATGTCAGGAGAGTGTTTACCACACAAGCATAAGGACCTGAGTTTGGTTCCCATTACCCTCATAAAAACTGAATATGGTGGAATGTGTCTGTAATTCCAGTCCTGGGAAGGCAGAGGCAGGAAGCTCCCAGGTGTTCTCCAAATTCATACAGAGATACAAACAATAACATGAGGAAACTCAACTTTTGTCATTCACATGCATGTGTACTTACATTCATATATCACATATAAGCATACTTAAAAGAATTAAAAACCATGTACTAAAAAATCAAAACACAAACTAACAAAACAATCAAATTTATTTTCCTCAAGTACTTTCAAGCTAAAAGTCCCAAGGATATAGTATTTTTTAAAAACAAAATGGTGATTTTTTTCTTTCTAAATTCTTCCTATACCCCACAAACAATAATGCATGTGGAAATATATATATATATATATATATATATATATATATATATATATATATACACACCAACACAGTAAAAAGAGACAGA